TGCGTTTCTCTCTGTGTCATCGTCCACTCTGTGGTGAACGGGTGCCGCTGTCCCCAGTGTGGCCCCATGCACTCCTGTCCTTTGTTCAGTGTACCCAGATTTCTGAGTCCCTAAGAGTCTCTGAGTGTCCAACACGGAATCTCAGTGAATCCCCTTTGACCCCTCGGTGAAGGCAGAGCTCCTGCTGCTGAGTCCTGACTGGAACGCAGCCTTCCTCTAGTCCACCATCATGGATTTCTTAATTAAGACTAATTTTAATCTCTTAATTTGTGTACATTCTGTGGGTTTTGACAAATATCTGTTGACGTAGGCCCACTATGGCAGTGTCACCTAGAGTTGTTTTGTGGCTCTGCGGCTTCCCTGTGTACCCTCCCCGTGCATCCCTCATTCCCTCTCCTTCAACCCCGTCAACCCCCAGTCTCCACAGTTTGGGCTTTTCAGAATGTGCTTGGGTGCAGTCCCCCAGCATGTCACCTTTCCAGGCTGGCTTCTCTTGAGTCCATGTCCACATTGGCCCACTGGCTGGCTGCTCTTCTAGTGGTGGCTTCACCCTCACCCAGGTGTCACTGTAGCTCCTGACCAGCCTGCTCAGTGTCCCCACCTGCCTCAGCGGGTCACGTGGGCCACCAAGCTGAGTGAATTGTCCTCCCTCCTATCTCTGCCTCAAAGCCCCTGGCACAGTCTTCTCTATGCCGGGCTCAGCCATGTTCTGTGGGGCACACCCTGGGCCACACTGCAGGCACGGACCAGGACATGCATTCCATGACAGACAGCCCTCGGGCACTGTTAGCCGACTCTGTGCCCCGGTCACCCTGGGTCTGCACACAGGTGTGTGGCCTGCCTGCCTGCCTGCCTCTGAGGTCGTCTGCAGCAGGAGTACTGGCTGCTCTGTCATGGGCCCTGGAGCCCTCAGTCCTAACTGCTGTGCCGTGGCCAGCACCAGCATGGGAGTTAGGACAGGAGCTTGGGGCACACTAGGGGCAGACACTGTCGGAGGTCCTTTTAGAAACAGTCACTCATCTAATACCCCAGTGCCTTTGGGAGGAGCATTTCTCTTTCCAGTGTACAGATGAGAAACAGAAAATCTGAGAAATTAAGCTAGCAGGAAAAGCCAGGAGTGAAACCAGGCTGTGTGTATACTGTATCTCTGCTCTGCTTGTGGCCTCTGAGAGGTGTGTTACAGGGCCCCGTCCTTGTCCTTCCCTCTTCTCGGAGACTACAATGAAGACATTGCCAGTATCAGTGTAGCCAACGCACTTGGAGGGATAGCTAATGTGATAGATGACATGATCAGGATTCAGATTGAGTTTAGCTACCCAGAATGCCAGCCGAGAACCAATCTACTGAACACCTAATAGGAATAAATGTGAAGTCCTACATTCAAGTTCAGAAACCCCTCTAGCCTAGGTCAGAAGGAAATGGCTTGGACAATTTGGGTACACCTTCAGCCAGTGCCGTGTTCTTACCATCTTTCTACCTAGGTTACAGCAGTTGTTTCATGACCAATGTCCCCATCTTCTTTGGTCCTTTTCTGCAGTTTCTATACTGTGCAGCCAGAGTGTCTTTTCAGATACAAATCCTGTAACCATGGTGCTTGCCCCCCATTTCCACCTCGTTAACCTCATTGATGGCTTTGCATCTTTCTTACCAGCTGAGTGGCTTTCTCTTGCCTTTCCTGGCTTCTGGATGGGCCCTTGGCTGCTGGGCCTTCCTCCCTCCCTGAATGTGCTGTGCTCCCAAGGGCCCTTGTGGTACTGCCATACGGTGCTCCCTTCTTTGCCTGCTCACTCAGAACCACCATTCTCAGCTCAGCCCAGGCCCCGTATCCTCAGAGTGGTCTTCCAGGTCAGTCGAATTCTGTACCATACAGCAAGGTGCCCGGAGCACAGTTAGTTCCACACGTGTGCTGTGTGACGTGTGTGATGGGTGTTTGCTTAGCCGCAGATTGCCAGCTCTGGGAATGGAAGTTACTTTGCCCGTATTTCTCCCTGCTATGTGACGACCCCAGACCCAGCCTGGTGTGGTGGCTCACAGGATCAGCTGAGCTATACTCACAGCTGAAAGAGAGGGAATAGGGTGGAGTCCAGTGGAAACCAGGACCTCTGAAGTCCTTCCCTGTGGAGCCACAGAGGACATGCTTAATTACCCCATCTGTGGGCCATGACAACACAAAGGAAGGGCTCAAGTATTACTGGGGACTCTGCCTGATGTGCACCCAAATTCCAGACTCCCAGAAGTCAAGCAGGCACTGTTTGTTGCCACACTGTGTGGTTAGGCACAGCGAGCCACTCTTGGTTAGGGAGTGCTGAGACCCACCCTGTCCAGGTTTCCAGATGCCAGACAGGGACCGGCTGGCTGCATACTGTGCAGGGGCAGCACCCAGGCCTGGTGATTCCAGTACTTTCCAAAGCATTGATACTCGGGACTTAATTTTCTGGCACATAGGAGACATCAGTCAGTGTTCAGTGAACAGATTGCCGTCAGGTGAGGTTGGCCAGGAAGGGCATTGGAGGCTGTGGGGAGGTGGCTCTCTGGTGCAGGTGGGAGATGCTTTGTCAGAGATGTTGACTATGAGCTGCAGGTCTAGCAGGGGGTGCTTTGGATCCTTCCAGCTGAGCTGACCAGGAGGCTTATGTCCACTCTCCTAAAAATGCTCTCTTGGGACAATACAAAAAAAATATATATGTGTGTGTGTGTGTATGTATATATGTGTGTGTGTATATATATATAGGAAAAAATGCTCTCTTGGGAAGGTTTGTTCTTCTGAAGAGTCGGGAAGTGCTATTGCTGTGGCTAGGGCAGCTCACTGGAGGGCAGCAGGTGCAGGTGCATGGGGTCCCCTTGGGCTGTGTCTGCTGATGCCAGCGTTGTTTCTGTAATGCATCGCGCAGAAGGCTGCCAAGTCCAGAGACCTGCTTCCTTCCCTCCAACTGAAGTGCTTTGTAATTGCCCCCTTTTAAAAGAAGACCCCAAATAGAGATCTCAGTTTGAAAGAATATGCATGCTGCCTCTGTGAAGGGAGTGATATTAGTGTCTATACCCTTGCCATTTCTGCCAGTGTTCAGCTGCTGGGTTTTCTCCGTTGGCTGTCTGTGCATATACTCGCACAGCAGATGTTTTCCGAGTGCTATTTTTCTGGCCTGGGGTGCTGGTGGGTGGAGGGCTGCTGGGAGAGAGTGCCCCAGGTGAGCCCCTGGTCTGCCTGGAGGCCTTGGTGGAGGCCAGTGTGGCCAGTGCTTCCCCTGAGAGGCCCTTCTCCTCGCGCAGCTGTCTAGCTCTGGCATCTGCAGCTCTAGTTCTCTCTCTTTGATGGGTCCCTTAAAGGCTTCCTGGCCCTTGGGCAAGGCAGTCTGCATCTTGGGCTCACTCACCAGTGCAGGCCCAGCCAGTGCCCAGCCAGGCGCCTGTGCTTCACCCTGCCAGGTACAGCTCTCCCAAGCATGTGCCTTTGCTTTTGGAGCTGGTCGCGTCTGTGGTCTTCCTGCTGCAGCCTACAGTCAGATTGCCAGGGCGTACCTGGTAGTGTTGGCAGGCCTTGTTGAAATAGGAACCTTTTTCTTTTTGTAGACTCTGGGTGTTGTTCTTTTCTCTTTGTTTGGATTTTCGACAACCCATTTTCCATCCCTGGGTTTGAACAAATTGAAAAAAAAAAAAAAAGAGAGAGAGAGAGAGACCAAAGAATAACTTTATTCCTGCTGAGTGAGGTGGCTTGACCTATCTTAATGTGATCCAGCTGAATGAGTCCCAAAGCTGTCCAGGCTCGCCTCCCAGCCAGTTGGGCCTTTGTCCTCCTGTGCAGCAGAGCCTCCAGGGAGTAGCTGACTCTGAGACTCAATGGGGGCTGCACCCAGGCCATTTGTTCCTGGGTGTAGTGGATTGTCTCCTTGGAGAGGTGCTTCTGGAGGTAGAGGACAGGAGAGTTACCAGCTAAGCTCCCTCCGATTGGAAGCAGACCCCAGGTCTGGGGGAAGAGTCACCCTCAGCTTCTTCAGCTTGCTGTTTGCATAGCCATTAGGCCCCTGGTCAGCTAGCTGGGTAGTCAAGGAGATGCACAGTGCTTTAGCTCAGTGTAGTCTACTGTGAGGCACCTGCTCCGTCAGGTGTTCTCTTGGGACAACCCTGGAGGTTGTGGGCTGCTGGAGTGTGCTCCTGATGGCTCTGAAATTTGTCAGAACAGGACATTAGATAATCTGCAGGGCCTCTCTACACCTGAGGCTACAAACCACTCTCTAGTTTATTTCTCATCCTTAATTCTACCAGCTGTGCTGTTCAACCCGGCTCATTAGAAATTCCTCCATGAGGTTAAATGACACTGTATAAATGTGTCGCAGATTTAAAAATAAACCTTGGTCTGTTACCTAGTTGCCTAGGAGAATAGGCTAACCTTTCTAAGTTCAGAGCAAAAAATGATATGTTCAAAGGAACTGAAGTCCAGGACCAAGATTTCTTATGCCTGTTTGGTTCAGATGCATTCAAGCTTATAATTTTCCCCTACCTTTTGCTGCCACTCTGTCTCAGCTGGTGGAATGCTGAGGTCTCACTGGAGTGAATGAGGCCCCTTTAGGGCCTGGAAGTCCTGTACATTGACATGAGCCTCTGACACCCTCACTTCTGAGAGTTCAATTTTTGGGAAGATCCATAAGTTGCCCCTGGCAGGCTGAGTGTGTGCTGTTCTGGTACCAGGGAGGTGGTCAGTCCAGGAGAGGGATGAGCTACACATTTAAATTGTTTGTTCAACTTAAATGTAAATATCTTACATTTACACACAGCAGTGCACCATTCCACATTCCTGAGGTGTGCGTGAGGGCTTTCCCTCAAGGCACTGGCATGCTACTGTGTGCACTCCTGTCCTCGTTTCTCAGGTTAAAATCTAGAGGCTTATGGATCAGTGAGGTTGTGAAACATTCACTACTCTCAAGTTATTTCAACTGCTTGTTTCCTTTTTGGAAACTCAAGTTTTATTTTATATGCACATGATACACATTATTTTTTTTCCTTAGGACAACTACACCTTTGCCCAACCTGGGATTCAAATGAAAGTGAAGATGTTGGAAGAACTCGTGAGCCGGATCGACGGTGAGTTGGCTTCCTGAGCCGCCCCTCTTTGAGGGTGGGAAGAGGCCTGGTTGAAAGCTCGGGGAGGTGGCCTTGGACATTGGTGGGACAGGACACAGTGGCACCCAGCCTGCTGGGGCTCATCCCTGTGAATCCTTCCAGGAACCTGCCCTGCCCCTTTCACCCAGCGTGGTGATCAGGATTCAGGCAGTGTGGCAGGAATGCCATGAGTGCCTTCTGTGCAGGCAGCCTTGCTCCTCATTGAGCTGGGGACGGCTGTTTATGGCTGTCCTTTGGCACTCTCTTCCCTGGCTTTGTGCATGCTTTTGGTATCAAGGAAGTTAGAATAATTTCTCTATGGAATCCAATTAATTACCAAGTCTGGAAATAACATCTTTTAATATTATAGAAAAATTATAGTGTGTTCTCTGGCAATTTTAGATTATGCTTCCATGTTTAAGTGGGGACTTCGAATACTTTTTACCTTCATCCTTAAAATAATTCCCCCTTGATGTGCTGACTGTCATATTGCACTAGCAGAGTTTAATTAAATGAAAGTTGAGAGATAATGCTACCCGTTCCAGGCGTATTCTCCTGATAGTTTGTTAAATTAATGAACAGAGCATTAACAAAGTGATGCCAAGCAGAACCAGGAGTACATGTGACACCAGCCCGCCGTGGTGAGCGGCCCAGGAGACTTGTGCTTTCACAGAGCATCCCAGGTGAGCCTGGCAAATCATCTCCCTGGATGTAGGGAAATTGTACTTTGTTTGAAACTTGGACTTGGCAGTTTGACTTGTGAGCACGTGCAAGTGCCCTCGCTGGACCTGCTGCAGAGAAACCTGTCATCACAGGCTTCTGAGGGAAGCCCCTGAATGACATTATAAAGTGGAGCCATGCAAATTATAAACTCCATTCTGTTTCCTGATGGAGTCTGATTTCTAGCTCTGTGGCTGATGGTTATTGCCTCATTTCCATATTATGAAGTCTTATACAGTTCTTCCAATGATACTTTATTTGATTCAGTGTTATATTTGGGTACTTTTCAACCTATCTATTCAAAATACTGCTCTTTTTTTTTTTTTTGCCTCTGTCAGTACATTATGTTCATACATTGTACACACACAGTAAGATCGCGCTTGACTGTGCTTGGATTTTGTTCCTTCAACCTGCAGTTTTATGAGTGTTGCCGTTCTGTTTAGTTCTTTGAATTACAATTCATAGTGGATGTGAATTACTCATTCTTAGGAGACTCTTCTTTTCCTCCTGTGCCCCTCAGAAGGCTTACTTTATATTTTCCTGGAGGTTGGAGAGCTGTGGCCAGTGCTCATCTGCTCCAGTGCTGCATTTGGAGAAATACCTGAATTGATTTTCTTTTGTTCTGTGGTTCAGAAAGAAGCAGGATGCAGATTTGTTGGGTGGTTTTTGAAAGAGCGGCATCTGCATCGCTTCTGAGTGTGGCATCTTCACCCTGTGCTCTTAAAGGTCTGTTTCCACGGTGAGGAGGTTCCCTCTGCCACACGCTGAGCTGTCTGACCTTCCCATTCTTCTTGTGGAAACTTAAAGAACTTCTGTGTTGTCCTCAACATGAGGACACCCAAGCTTTCCGGAAGGAAGGGTCTGGAACCTGCTGTAGTGGCCCTGGTGGGGACCCTCTGCCTCCAGCAGGCACCTGGAGAAGCACCAGGGCCGTGGCTCTGGAGATCACTCCTCTGCGTACCATCGCACTAGGAGAAAGAATCTGTGGGCTTGGAACTTTTTTGGGGACCTCAAAGATTTTATTAAGGGCAGACTATTTTAGGAAGAAAAAATTTGCTTTATAAAAGTCCACTGCCTCATTTCTGCATTTTCAGGGAAAGTAAGTATTTATTTCAGAAAATTTTGACGCTTTGGTGAGGGAAAACTCTTCATGGACTTGCAAGTGAAGAAAGGTGAGGGTTTGTGGATAGGTCCAGGTGTGGCTCATTCAGAAAAGGAGCTACGTTGCTCTGCAGGGTCAAAGTAAGGAATCTTGGTGTTCCAGTGATGGCACTGTGAAGATGTAGGCAGGAAGCCACAGGAGAGTGGGCACCTGTCTTGGGGGGGAAGGGTACAGAAGTGGGGGAATGAGTGACCAACAATTAGCCAGAGGCACTTTCAAGAGTTTCCCATTTTGAGCAGCGCTGCTCTGCACCCTTAACCTCTAGGGCTCTGTGCACATGAAGGTGTGATGCCTGAAGGAAGAGAGTTTTGTTCCTCATGGAAGCCGTGTGGTAGGAGTGGGCAGGGGCCTTTTGTTGGCACTGGGTGGGGAGCAGAGACCATTGCAGGAGGGGCAGCTGGGTGGTGAGAAGTCCAGGATTTCCCCTGTAATCTTGGGGCAGAAATTGGAGTTTCCCACATAATGAGAGATGGTGACTGGAGCCATGTAATTTAGAATTAGAGGAGAAGGTAAGAGGAGGAATTTCTACTTTCAGAGAGGCAGACTAGATAATTCCAACCAAATTTCCCATTGAAAATAACTAAGAGCTGTCAAACAAACAAAAAGGGAAACAAAAGAAAAGAAGTTTCTTAAAAATCATCAAACTGCTATGAAGGAAACAAGCACTTCTTGGACCACACAGTACCTGAACCTCAGGAGAGAAGCACAGCACCCAGGCTGAAAGAATAACCCTAAAGGGTGTTGTAGTTTGGGCAGTCTTCTGGGGCAAGTTGGTAAAACCTGGCTTACTTAGAATAGGGAATCAGCAAATGCCCCTTTACTTCCTGACAGCTGGAAAGGTGAGATGTGGGTTGTGGTGCGAGCCACTCAGCTCTCAGGACTCCCATAGCCTCTAGTTCAGGCAGTGTAGGACCAGGGTTGTGGAGTTTCTGGACTGGAGTTCCTCAGAAGGCTTGTGAAAAGTAAAAACAACCTCTTTTTAGGAGGGAGTCCCCAGAACTTAAATTGTTCCTACAAATATTTTCTTTTCAAATGAAATGACCTTGATTGCACATTCAAGACTCCTTAAGTGAGAGAAAACAGATAACAGAGCCAGGTCCACCTGAGCTTTTGTAATCCTTAGGCACATACTATAAAACCACTGTGCTTCCTATGTATGAAGAAAGAAGTTTGAAAGTATCTGCAGGGACTAGGTGACCATATGATTTTTGCATAAGAGATTTGAAAAATCACCCAAAACACTTTCTGGGATTAAAAGACATGGTAACCAAAAATAAAAATCCCATGGACAAGCTTAACACATTAGACACAGCTAATGAGAAAATTGGTGAACTAGAAAATGGGTTAGAGGAAAATAGCCCAGTGAAACTTGGAGAGTTAAGAACATGAGAATGCAGAAAGTAAGCAGTGTAGGGATGTAATTAGAAAGTCTGATATATATATTTATGGGGTTTTAGAACTAAGGAAAGAGTGATGAAATGATGAATGACCTCTTTCCAAAATTATGGAAGTTCACAGATTCTAGAGGCCAGTGAATCCTGGGGAGAATTAATGGAAATTCATCAAAGTGAATTTAATTAAACACAGAAATTCTCAAATCAATCAGAGAAGAATAATGCTTCCCTAAAAATAGCTGTTTATTGAGAATTGACTTCTCAATAGAATGTACCTGAGGGTATCTTCAATATCCAGAAAGAATGTAACTGTTTCCCTGGAGTCTATATCCACCAAAGGTATCCTTCAAAAGTGAATTCGATATTCCAGGATTACATCTGAATCTGAATTGTTTTACACTGCCTCCAAGAAACTGTATAAATCAAGAAGGAAAGCAATAAAGCCACATGTGAACTTCCCTTGCAGCATAAGTAGGGAATGGTCCTTGTGAACTTCAGATTCCTGTGAGCAGGCAAACCACCCACCCAGGTCAGCCTGTGGGGAGAGGCACATCATCTAGTACCCTAAGTTTGCCAAAGAAAGGACAGATCCAGATAAATCATCACAAGAGAGACAAGGCCCTTTCCAGGGTATGGAAAGACTGAGATTAAGTCTGATATCTCATAGGTCAGGACATTGGCTAGTGGGTCATTGAGAGGAATTGAGATTTCCTGGATGAATGGCAGCTGTGTCCATAGCAGAACCCTGTGTCTGACCATCAGTTGCCTCACAGGAGCTGATTCTTAGGTCACTTTAGAATCAGCTGGGCCAGGGTCTCATTTCTGCAGAGTAGTACTTCCTTGTGGCTGGGCATGCAAGGAGCGGTTTCTGGTGCACAGGAACACTGTTGTGTCCAGCTGTTTCCCACAGGCCCCTCCTGCCCCATCTTCAGGATCAGATTCTCCTGGGACAACTCTGATTGCTGGTGGGAGGGCAGGATGCAGGCAGGGGTCAAGGCCGGGGGTCAGAGAACTGGGACTTGCATCCCAACCAGCAGCACTCACAAAGTAACATGGGTGGGGTTGAGGGAGGGGCTGGGTTCTGGCATTTATGGTGCTGTCAGAACCTCACCTAACATGTTTTCTGTTTGTTTGGGTTCTTGATCAAACACTTTTTCTTTTCTTCTTTTAGAAGAAATGGATCACTTGGTATTTGGTCAGCTTTTTCACTGTTGTGACCTGATGAGAACAACTTTAGAGAAGGAAAAGTTTATTTGGCATTCACAGTGTCAGAGGTCTTAGTCCATAGAGAGCTGCTTTCAGAGCTGTAGGCCGTGGGTGGAGCAGGCGAGGAAAGCACCTCAGAACATCACACCAGGAAGCTCACAACATAGAACCCCCAAGGCACACCTCTGAGACCACCTCCTCCAGCCACACCCTACCAGTCTTCATTACCACCCAGTTGATTTGTATCAGCAGGTTAATCCACGGATGAGGTTAAGGCTGTCAGGACCCAGTCACCTCACCTCTGAACTCTTGCGTGGTCTTACACATGAGCTCTTGGGGGGCACCTTGCATCTGAGTAGAAAAACGTAATATCTGAGTAGAAACAGCTCTTATAATTGGGGGTGGTTCCAGCCCTCCTCCCTCCCTGGCTTTTGAACTCCCCAGTCCCTCCATGGTGGTCATGGTGGGTTAGATGTTTGGGTCAAGGCTATGCCTAGAAC